CTTCATCTGTACATATTTACTATAGTTTCCCAACAGTTTCTTGTATTGGTGCTGTATTTAAAGAAGAACCGTCCTCTTGTAGAAACCATTTATACAGGGCTGGTGTGCTCATTAATTAATTCCCCACAGGCTTTGGCGACAACATCCATTGGAGGACACTGGATGATGGGAAGAAAGAAGCTGAGGCCAGGTGAGTTTACACGGAGAGCTGAAATACCACAAACACTTCCTGTTGTAACTGCTGAACAGCATTTTGTGTAACCACTGCCCTGAGGCCTCCTCTGTCTCTGTTTCCACTAACACTTCGACCAGACCGACAAGTTGATGTTAGAAGATTTACTTAAAAGTTTTTTCACAAATACCACATTGCTGAGGGCATGTTTTTACTTATTACAATTGCAGGCCTGACAAAATAAGGTCTCAGATACTAATTTCCAGTGTTCATGTATGACAAACATTTTCATATGTTTGCATTGGCAGCGGGCTGCCGATGATGATCATCATCCACAAGAGCTGGTGTGGAGCCTGCAAAGGTAAAACAACATTCTCTCGTACTTAACTATAAAAATCTCAGGTGAGGATTTTCAGTTGACAAGGCCTCCTACGGTTGGTTACTTCAGAACTAACAACACTGACAAACACAAATCAAGATGTCTGTCAAGTCTAAATAAACCATTATGCAACAACTGCACAGTGAAACACCTATGTCGGAATGAGAAAAAGCCATTATTGTAACAGATGGAGCCAGCAATGTTCTATTCTTTCTCATCAGGCTTTACTCTGTGCGACCTAGTAGGATTGCTGTTGTGACTTATGGGGGGGGGGCAGTCTAGATTAGTGTCATGATGGTGGAGACAATGAGTTTTCCTTTTTAAGCATTCTGTCTTTGTCCTGAAACTGAGGATATGACGTCTTGCAGAATCTTCGTTTCAGAGACAAGAGCTGTCCTGTGAGATCATTCATTAGTATTTGTCCAAGATTTGATGAGATGTAAGATAATTATTAATTGTGGTCTTCTTTTTACACCAGCACTGAAGCCCAAATTTGCTGAGTCTAAGGAAATCTCTGAACTTGCACACAACTTTGTCATGGTCAACCTGGAGGTAAAAAAAAAAAAAAAAACGCTGACAGTGGCTTTTTTTTTCAGAAAACTGTTCATTTCACTCAGTCAGTTACTTTTTTATGGCAGCTATTCTTGCCATTCTTAAATTTTAGCATGTGTAAATTTTATCCAAAACCTAAATTAACTAAATTATTTTATGCCACTTATCTGGGCCAAAGTCTTGTTAATTACTTAAATTACTAGGAATCATCGAAATACTGTCAAAATGTGAGCTAAATGTAAAACTAATTATGCTTAATAACTTTGTCACTACTGGTTTGTGTGGTATTAAAGACAAAGCAGGGACTCTGACTGTACTAGTAGCCAACATTAACATGTATCGTGTGGCTGAGGTTGGTTTCCAGGCCTGTAAATGATCAATTATCTCCGATTTGAACAGGATGAGGAGGAGCCAAAGGATGAAGCTTTCAGTCCCGACGGCGGCTACATACCTCGGATTCTTTTTGTTGGTACGGAGTAGGTTGAGTTGCTCTTTATGTAAACACTTAACAGAAATTCCTCTGTGGAGACTGATTGTACAGTTACTCCTGAAAAACACAAAGTGCCTGGTAGATTTTCAGCAGGCTGGGTTTTAGTGGCTCCACTGGCACGTTCCTGTCCCGGTGACCAAATAGTGAAAAGGCCAAGATGCTGAACTTTTAGAATTTCACTGAGCACAAAAAAAGCAAACTACTAATCAAGGATGGTAAAATTAGCTGCAGTGCATTGTGGACAACCAGAGATAAAATGATGAAACATCCTAAATCCTTACAGGTGCAAGAACAAATTTGGTTTTAAATACAACACCAGAGTAGTAAATAATTTTAATTTGAACTTTAACTTGACTGTTCTTGTTCCCTTCACAGATCCCAGTGGCAAAGTCCATCCTGAAATCACCAACAAGAATGGGAATCCAAACTACAAGTACTTCTACAGCAGTGCAGAACAAGGTAACAATGCAATTATATAAAATTGACAGACATTGAATTTTTATATTACCAACCATAGTGTCTAAAGTTTAAGGGTTCAAAAGCAAACATAGCATCAAATGGTCATCACATTTAAAATTTTGCCTGAAGTCTAGTGACAGCCATACATGCCCAGGTTCTAACAGGACCAGTACCATGTTTGACAGATGACATGGTGCTTTGGGTCACCGTTTCAGACCATAGAGCTTTATTCAGAACTCTGCTGGTTTCTTTGTGATTGTTTCTGAGGAGGCTTACCAGACGTTTGCATCGTGCTCATCTACAACACTTGTGCTCCTCAGTCTACCAGGTCCTTTGCCATTTTTTTAAGTTTCCCGTTCACGTGCTTTTTAGAATGAACCCATTTGTTGATTTGTCAAATCAACGATCTTTGATATCTCTGACAGATATTTGTTTTTCAGTCTAATTATTTTATTCACCTGCACAGTAACATTTTCACTCATACTGGCACATAACTCCACCTCAATCTAAATGGCAGCTGCCAGTGACATGCACAGTTCTTTCTATAGACCTAAACATACTCAAATGAAAGCTGAGAATCTGCAGTTTAATGTATTTTATTTCAAATTGAACATGGTGGAGCATAGTGCCTGAACAACACAAAATGTGTAACTGTCTGAACATGTCTTTACTACTACTACTACTACTACTACTACTTCTTGAGTCTGTACATTCCCTTAAAAGGTAGTTGATAATCACATTCCTTCCATCCCACCCAGTTGTGTCTGGTATGAAGGAGGCACAGGAGAAGCTGACGGGTGATGCCTTCAAGCGGGGTCACACTGGAGATGAGCTGTGAGGCGGCAGAGCCGGGCAGCAGGCTGTAAGGGCTACACTTCCTCTACCGGAGCTTCACAGCGCCCTCTGATACTCATTACTATTTATACTCTACGACATAGTCAGCGGGGGCCGTCTCACTGACCAAACCAAGCTGACCATCAAAAGGCAGCGGTGCTTGAGTATTTTTTCCAACATAACTATTGAGTTTCCTGTCACAGTCTTTGTTTTAAAACATCCATTATTTGTAATCTACTGTCTGCCATGTACTGTACCTATTGTCTGTAGAGGATATAAACAACTCAAGCAAGCCAAGTTAACTGCACATCTGCAATATGCCAAGTTGTTACCACCAAAGTAAAATGCCTTGTCATCAGATGACCATGAAATTTTAGTCTTAGCTTCAAGAAGCTTCACTAGTAGAAAAATATTAAATCTCTTCAGTTGAACCACTGGTGGTGTTTTCACCCAATAGCAGCGATACATTACTTCATAATTAGTCAAATACTTTAACACATACAGTAACGTGCTTCCAGAGATCCTCTACAGTACATAGTCTCCGACAGTATTCACCATGCACTAGTGGAGAGACTCGCTACTTCTGATTTCTATTATCCAGTCTTTAAAATATTAGTTTATTCAATTTTCCCGTAACTAGTCAGGCCATTCTCTACTGTACTTATTTACCTATATTAACATAATAGTTTCTGTTCTGAGGTTTGTTTTGCTGCTTGTAAAGTGACACTACTGTTTTTTTGTTTGTTTTTAAGCCAGCCTTGTTGAAGTCTTTCAGTGAGGGATGGAAACCTTGGTTAAGTCCTGATGTATTTTATACATGTACACAGCCCAGTGTGCAAATAAAGTTTGTTGTATTGAATACTTTGTGCTTATTGTTGTCCAGACACATTCACAACACAGCAGTAATATAACAGTATATCAGCGTTTATTGTCTGTCCTACAAAAGTGCTCCCTTATGGTTTGTCAAACTATATGCAGCTGCTGTGGACAGTTGACTTCAATGGACGACACTAATTAAGTCACTATTTCAATTCAGGTTGAGAGTGATTTAAATAGTGCCTTTCACATTGAGCCATATCTCACTGTAAATATGTCTTATAGCATTTGATTTTACATAAAATAAATTACAAGAACAAAATCATAAAATCTAAATATACCTCATTTCATGACGTTAACAGTGCTAACGTACAACAACACGAAACAAGGAATATATGTGTCGACTGATGATAAAACCCTCTTCTTTGCATCGACAGAGACGAGACTGAAGCTGAGATGTTTAAGGGCACAGAGAAAAGAAAACTGCAGCTAACAGACGTGCGAACGTGGTCACAGTTCTTACTTTTTATCACTGAGATCATTTAAAAGGTCTTAAAAGATGGGAGAAAGAAATATTACTACAATCACTATAATTACACTAATTACACAATTCCGCTGCTGTAAAGTCGGCAGTATTTTCACATATAAAAACATAAAAAGCCGTGTGATGCAGCTGGATATTCAAAATTACACAGCTATGAAGTGTGATTCAAATAGTAAAATATATGGCGTGCATGTACCATTTATAACCAGTGTTAACAGACCACGGTCAAATAGATTTGCTGTTCTAACTGAAAAACAGAGAACAGTATCATGAGCTTTCAAAATGCAGCTAGAGCTGCCTCTGAGGTGGGGTGCACAAGGTGTGCACAACATCTGGAATCAATCACCAACTCTTCAGCACACAGGAGATCCAACATTGCAAACTGTGTTCTACATTTCATGGCTCTCCTCACAGGATTACCCTAAAACGCTAATAGATTCCTTATGCAGACCCATGTGACTGAAGTCAACACTAAAAGAAGTAAGAACACTTCATTCACCCCCATTTGTGTGCAGGTTGTCCAACTGACTTCTGATGATATTAAGAGTTGAGTTGAGTAAGGAAGGAGTTTGTGTGTATGTTTTGGAGCAAACTTAAAATCTTCCTTGCTTGGCATCTCCGATGGCCCCCCAGACGTCAAAGACAAACTCATCTGGAAAAGCGAAATCTCCGAGGGTCTCGTCTAGCGCCGTGGCAAATTCATCCGGGTTCTTCTTGTCGCGGCCGACCTCAACCATCGTAGCAGCTGGAGAGGAAAGAACAGAGGCGCTGAAGATTCATGATACAACATGAATTGAAATGGTGCTTGTTGGTCCAGCCAGATATAGAAAAGTTTCATGGAATTTTCCATGGATCTTGATAGCTGCATACCTATACAGTAAAAAACCTGGGAACAGTTCTTGATCCCCTCCTACTCAAAAACTATTTACATATCACAGTCGAGATATTCCCCATTTTATCCCATTCAGGCACTGAAACCATTGCTCAGGCTTTTTAAACATCGCGCCTACGATAAGGATAGATTTAAGAGTCCCCCAAAACATTGGTCCTATAACACGTGTCCTTTGCACAGACTCTAAACTAGTAACAACAACAACTAACAGTAGTAATTAGTATGTAAGATATCAGCTAATGAATGAAGAAATCTCAATTACACAGTAAGAGTGAATAGTGTATATCAGTATTGCTTGCTGACCAAGTTCAGTGTCCCTGATGCCCATGTAGCTCTCCAGGAGGTCGTCCACCTTCTTCACAGCCTTCTCCTCAAATTCTGTTGGCTAGAAAACACAGATTACTCAGTTTCACTCCTTCAGTCTCTCACTGTTATTGTCTTTTTTCTGGCATCTAAGTGCTCAGTGCTGTAGTGTTCATCAAAATTCTGTTTTTATCCATATCTGAGTATATCTACATTAGCAGACTTAAAAGACAAACCCAGGGGAAATTATAGCCCCGATCAATCCACTGTTAACAAGGTAACTCACCTCGTCCTCTACGGTAGCCGGGCCCTTGGAGCGAAGTCTCAAAGTACTCCTCCCTGTGCCGATCTTGTTGTCACTAGCAGGTTTGGTACCTCTTGACCTGGGCTCAAGCATTTCTGTCAATTAGAAATGAAACAGTATTACAGAACGTGACACTTTTTGCTGATTGTTAAGTTGCTGAACTTTCTCATCAATGAGAAAACAGACATCACAGTCGCTCCTGTTTCACAACTGAGAGGCTCTGTTAGCATGTGAAGCTAATGTGTTTGCTTTGGTCACATTAGCAACGTAGTACGGTTTTGATTGCACAGATTTTTTTTTCAGCAATCTCATTACTGGGTTGATCAACTAATTGCTTCCATTATAAAACAATAAAAACTGTCCCATGTGCCCTCATGATGCTGGTGTCTTGGAATCAGTGTTTATATCAATTACATCTTGTTTCTCACTCACCAAAGGCCTTCATTGGTTCCACCAGTTTGAGGGTGAAGGATCTGTCTCTGGGAAGTTCTTTAAGCATGCGAGCGACCTCATAATGCCGTGTCCCGACAATATTATGTCCGTTAATGCATTCTATGTGGTCGCCCACGCAAATCACCTTGACCCCGTCCACAACGCTGCCCTCTTTGATACGCTGCCAGGAAAAAAAGAGGAGGCATTTCAGAAAATGAAAAAACACTTCAGTAGGTTTAAGGTTTAAATGCCACATGAAAAAAAAAAGGTTTGTTTGAAGAGTTTTCCAAGTAACACACGACAAAAATCCAGATCAAAACAAGAGAGAGCAAGAGCAGGAA